GCCGACTCGACATCGACTACAACAAATCGCACCATCTTTACTTTCCTCAAGTCGCCTTCCCCGAGGACGATAGCGAGCGTGGTTTCTCCTAGGGGTGCGACTTTCGAGCCATTAAATCCAAAAAGTGAGGTGTGCAGGGGTGCAAGCTCGATGTCGAGTTCCATCCGTTTAAGACAATTGTAAAAGATCACATTCACCGAGCTTCTCGTGTCGACAAAGATCCTATACACTTCATAGCCTGATATTTGAGCAGTGATCATTAAAGCATCATTGTGAGGTCTCTCGACCTCCCCCATGTCTTCTGGCCCAAAATTCATCACTGGACCGTTTTCTTCAACCTGTTGCACTTCAATTTTTCCGTGGCGGCCTCGAGCATATGCCTTTCTGGCCCGATTTGAATCTCCATCAGTCGGCCCTCCGAATATTATATGAATTATTCCTCTTTTCTGAGGGAGCTCCTCCTTGTCGGGTGTCCTCGCTCTCTTGCGAGGGCTCTTGCTTCTCTCCCTTTGCCGACTGGTTCGATCTCGATCCTTATAAACGAACTCCATTAGATGGCCTGCTTTGATTAGTCTCTCGATCTCATTCTTCAGGTGCCGACATTCGTCGGTATTATGCCCGTAGTCCTTGTGAAATCGACAATACAGATCACTTTTGGGCTTTGTCGGTCCATCCTTTCTCGTCCGTGCCCACCTGACCACACTTTCGCGAATTTCTTTCTCCATTACCTCCAATATCATTGCATTCGAGGCTGACAGGGGGGTATACTGAGTTGTCCTCCATCTCCTTGATCACCCCTCCCTTTCTGACTTCGGGGATGCTTTCCTTTCTCCCGACGTGATTGGTTTCTTATCCTTCTTCTCGTCTCGGGATTCAGTCTTTGCTTTAGCCGCTTGCAAAAAGTCGGCTTCGGCTTCCTCGACATTCATGTATTTGGCGCACCTTCCTAGGACCTCATCGAAAGTCCTCCAGGGTCGCTTTTCCAAGGAATTTATGCACAATCCCGGGAGGAGTCCTCTAGTGAGTCCCCCCGACTTGATTTCCTCAGTGGCTGAGGGGACGTCGACACATGCTCGAGTGTATCTTGCCACGTAATCCCTTAATGATTCTCCTTCTTTCTGTTGCATGCCTATCAGGGTAAGGTAAGACTATTCTTGGGCCTTTACACTTGCGAATTGATTCAGAAAACTTGAACTAAATCGGTCAAAGTCCCTGACGGCTCCCGGGGGCAATTGATGAAACCAGTCTTGCGCAGGTCCTCGCAGAGTCGTCAGGAACGCTCGACATTGAACGGGATCAT